GTAGGGAACAAAAGAAGATAGTTCCTTATGCTTTCTCTGCTTTCATGTGATGAGGTCCTTGGTCTATCTCTTATCTGATCCAATTGTTTCTAATTACTTGCTTAATCTGGCACAACAATGTGTACAGAGACAGTAGTAATAATCTTAAAATAACCAAAATATCAGGACATTAAGAACATATTCAGAGTGCCTTAAATGCAACGTTAACATGAGGTAACTAGGAAAAAAAATAAAACAAGAAGTGGGAAAAGGAATCTGTTTCTTCTGACATAAAAGTTGGCTTCAGATGCATCTGAAGAAGTCAGCTGTAGTCCACCAAAGTTTTATGTTGAAATAAATTGGTTAGTCTTAATAATGTCCCAAGTCTTCATTTTCTTTCCATTATATAAAAATAAACTAACACTGTTATTTCTTTAAAATTGCTTCAAGAAAAATGTAGGATTCAGAGTACATTTTCTATAGACATCTTTTGGTGTTCCTGTTTGGGTGATACAAGAGTATTTTTGGGAGGATCAAACCCATAATGCATGCTTCTAAATAAAATATTCCTAGAGGTGCTGTGGATCAGGAAGCCCATCAGCCTGATTTAGACCTAACAATTGCTGTTAGAGACACCTGCAAATTTCCTGTAAACCACCAATAGGACCTGATCTATCATCTACCCATTTGTGTCCTAAATATACTTTGCAAAAGTTCATTTCCGATATCAAGATTAAGATATACACTGCTGTGTTTTGATTTAGAAATGAATGTCGTTATTTTAGTACAAGTTGAGCATCCCTTATCTAAAATACTTGGGACCAGAAATGTTTCATTTTTCAGAATACTTGGGTATCCATAATAAGATGTCTTGGAAATGGGGCCCCACTATAAACACAAAATTCATTCATTTTTCATATACACCTGAAGGTAACTTTATACACAACATTTTAAATATTTTGTGTATGAAACAAAGTTTGAGGACCATCAGAAAGCAGAGGTGTCCCTAACTCAGCCATGCATGAAGTCATTATTTGAGCATTTCGGATTGCAAAATTCCAGATGAAGGATGTTCAACTTGTACTGGTGTTATATGACAAATTCTTGCTAAAATGCAATTGCCAATCTTCGAAATAAAACCAATAGCTTCTGAATAGTTTTTCAAAGGTGGCTCTACATAGAGAGTTTACAGAACTCCGCCTTTGGCACTGCCAAGTCTCAGATCAGCACAAATTACCATTTTTGTAGGGAATGCCACAGGTAAAAAGTACTGCAGGCTACTTGCTCACCTGGAATGCCAGGAGTATTGCCAGATCCAGAAGTCTTTCCTAAACTCCTCACCTAATCCTCCAGGAGATATGCAACCCCACCCAACACTACCAACACCCAGATCAATCAAATCGTCCAGCATTAGCTTTGGATTTAATTTTACTTTTTGTTTTCATGCCATCTATTGATAACCTCAGACCATCTGTTGGAATTTTCATTGCCATAGGTTGGGGAAAAATAAATACAAAGAATTGGATGTTCTTATGACACTTTATCCCCCATTTCTCTCAATGCTTTCATGCCTGTTTTCAAAAACATGGAGCATGCAACAAAGCCCTGTAGAACAGCTTGAGGCCACTCATATGTCAGAGCTTAGAAACATTACTTCTTAAAGTATCCTCTAGCTACCTTGGACAGTTCTTGCAACATTAGTCCAAAAAAGGTAACTTTTCCACAGTTGTGCCCAGTACAACCTTCAGAAGCTGATTTGGAAATCTGGTGCCAAATGAGAATATATTGCTGTTCAGCCTCTTGTAGCTTACCACATGTGCTTTTGTTTTCATACAAACAAGAGTGCAAGAAGATATTGTATATCCTTTCTATTTTATTTCCCAAGCAAAACTAGGATACATTTATGTAATACTTTACTTCTTAAACATCTGCCTGTTGTAATCAATTCATTTATATAATATCAAAAATTCTATATGGGTTTAGAATTGTCTTCATTTTTAGATATTGAAAGTGATGTAAGTAGGCACTAATTGCCAGAAAAAAAGATTAATAGTCTTATTTTCATCCTCAATTCCAGTAAAACACATGCACCAAAATAGTTTGCATAAAATTAGCAAATTATCACTGGCATTCACTATTGCAGCTACTGATTCAGAATCTAGAGTTATCAATCTGTAACTATTCTGTATTCAGTCAGAATATGTGGTCTTACTTCAGGACTACATAAATTCCACTCTCAGCCCACCTTAACAGTCAGCAGCAGGATCAAATGAAGGACGTGGCTGATAATGAAGGTGCAAGGAGGAAGAGGATGTTTCTAGCCCTCTCCCACCAGCAAACAAGTCTGTGACAGTCATGACTTTCTTGTCACAGCCTCATTCATTGGTGGAAGGGGGCTGGAAATGTCATCCTCCGTCCACCCAACTAGCAGATAAACAGATTTCCTTTACTCAGTTCAGTTGCTGGATGTTACGGTAAGCTATGGGGGGTCAGGCGAGAAGATGTGACTTAGTTAGGCATATGAAACTAAGTAGCTGATGTAGGATAGCAATATATATTTATTACCTTCAGCTGTGCTGGGAAAATGTTTACCCTTCCAGTTATTCTACTAAAGCTTGACTTAATTAATCTACCAGTTGCACTCATTAAAACTGGAATCCCGCTGAAAGAGTTAAGGCATGCATAGGATTCTCCGGCATACTTATAGTCCAGGGGAGATTAGTGTAGCTTGAATGCTGTCTTTTCAGGTGGGCAGAATGGGCTGGCCATGCCTAGATTTTTGAGTAGAAAAATCACTTTTTCTACTCAAGGTTATTGCAGGCTTTTAAAGTTAGCGCTAACCTTTGTGCAAACCTCCTATCTAACCCTTGTGAGCATTTCATAAGTGCTGTCAGTTGACAGGAAGAGGGGACTGGCATTTGTGTGTAAACTAGAAAAGCGTGCAGTGTGGCAGGTCAACCAGTGCCTTTTCTTCAAAGCTATCTGCCCATGTCTCTAGCCTTGCATCAGTCAGGAAGCCCCATCTCAAAGAAATGTACTTTTACTCAGTCAGGCTTCCTGTGGAATGTTAATGGATTTGTGCTGATGGAGCATGTGAGTGACATTGTGCAAAACGTCTCTTGCCAAGTCAGCCACGTATTGCAAACATGGGGTTTTATTGCCTTAAGTGGGGAAAATTATGATGCTTCCGCAGTTAAGCATGCAGAAAAATCAGGGTGGCTTCTAGAAGGATAAGCTAACCAGTTTTGCCTTTCCTTGCTGGACAAGACAACAGGTCAAATCAAAGTGGCTGTAGCAGTAAGAGCACAGAGACAAATTGAAAATGACAGGGTGGAAAAGGCATCAGACCATGCACATTTTATTACAACATGTATTTTCTTTTTTTTTGTTTGTTTCTTTTAAAAATCTAATTTGGAGTCTTACCTCTGCAACCCACATACCTCCTACAGAAAGAGTTGTATTCTTTGACATGGCTCAAAGATTCAGTTCTGGCCTGAGTCAGTTGCTTCGAAGCTTAGAAAATGTATTGTCGAAGGCTTTCATGGCTGGAATCACTGGTCTGTTGTAAGTTTTTCAGGCTGTATGGCCATGTTCAAGAAGCATTCTCTCCTGGCATTTTGCCTGCATCTATGGTAGGCATCCTCAGAGGTTGTGAAGTCTGTTGGAAACTAGGAAAATTGGGTTTATATCTCTGTGGAACATCAGGAGAGAATGCTTCTAGAACATGGCCATACAGCCCGAAAAACCTACAATAACTTAGAAAATGTACTTTTCTGGAGGCAGGGATCATAGTTCCCAGTGAGCACCGACACTAGACACATTCATTTAGAGATTTTGAGAACTGTCATTTCCAAAGCATTTGTGAGCTCTGCTTCTTCCTTTGATAACTGTGTGCGTACAACCTACAGCTCTTGCACGTGCCTCCTACACAAATTTACCTGAAAGATTAAGGTGTTGAGGTTCATTACTGAAGGACTTCCATGGAAAGGGCAGACTGAAGCCTTCCTTCTAAAGCAGCAAGAACAGATGCCATTCAGGAGAGGAACTAACAGCATCATGCAGTTGGCTGCAAAGCTTTGAAATCCAAAGCCAGAAAGAGATGCTAATTCTAAGAAGGGTCTTCCAAATTTAGATGTTGTTGTGGCTTGGATCACATACCTATGCAAGGCAGTATGCTCCAATAGTCAGCCAAAGGATAAGTGGGAAAGACATCCCTGTAGTTTATCACAGGGAGCTTGTGGACATGTCAGGGGTTGCATGCCAGAGGGAAATTCTAACTCTCCCTCTCTCTGTATGGCTGTAAAAAAAATAAATGTGAGGACAGGTAAGAAAGGAAATGGGATCCCATTTTACAAGATATGATCATTACTTTGCTCAGCTTGGTAGATGCTGCAGAAGTACAAATGATAATGGGACTAGAAACTGGATTCATTAATCTGTACAGGAAAATCCTCCTAGAGTATTCACTGTTGAAGTCAAGCCAATATTTTTAGCTCCTGCCACATTGAGCTTTGCATTACACCGATTAGCCTATATTTGTGTATGTGAGCAAGTTAAAAATACAGCCAGTGGAAAGCTACAGCTCAGCAATAAACACCTCATTTGATATTGAGGTTAGGGGATGGTAAAAGTTTCAATGGTTTTCCCCTTCTTTCCATCCTATAGCTTTGGATTCAAGAAGGAGGATACTGAACTACATCTTTCTCCTTTGCCAGCCATCTCTCTCTCTCTCTCTCTCTCTCTCTTTCTCCCCCCCCCCCCCTCTGAACCCATTGAAAATGTATAGAACACATAGTTGGGAAATGGCTTTTGGAGATAGTTCTTTTGCAATTATGTGGTGTAATCTTTCAAGTGCTCAGGAAAACCTCTTGGGTGATAAGAATAATATCAAAACATGCAGCAACATGTATGCTCAGCCAGGACTCTAAGCCAAGCTGCAGAGCGCTTTGTAATTTTAGTGAATTGAAATGAATGATTAAGCTTGACTTCTGACTGTCCTTGTTTGTGTTTCCCATATTCAGGCTTTAATTCCTGTGGTACATACTGGTGGGATACACATAAAGAGATTATCCCGGAATGGTGGATCACCTGCTTCCTGTGGATGAATCTTTCTCATCCACCAGGCCTTCAATTGGATATTTTGGGGACATGACAGCAATTGGAAGGTCCTACCAAATGCTGCCCTCTCCCTTGTCTGAAGATGACAGTGATTCTTCCAGCTTTTGCTCATGTTCCAGCCCTGATTCCCAGGTTCTTGGCTCAAGCTATGGAAGCTCATCGAGTGCTGAGAGTCAGGACAGTATCTTGGACTACTTGTTGTCCCAGGCATCCTTGGGGAATGGCCATGCCTCCTGGTGGGACAAAAGGAGACTTCAGCCCATTGTGAAGGACGAACATTTCCAGATGCCTGAGTTTATGGTCGAAATGGACGATGGTGGACCATTCCAGCCCACACTTGAGGAGATAGAGGAGTTTCTCGAAGAGAACATGGAGACCGATCTCAAGGAGGGGCCTAAAAGTGAGACCAAAGACATGAGAGCTTGTAGCCAGATTACTGTGGCTTCCATACAGCAAAAAGACCACATGGTGTCCTACAGTAGTTTAAAAGACAATAAAAATGAACAATCAAACAGCACAATGGAAGGTAGCCATGCATCAAATGGAACAGTGTCCCTTGATGGAGGGATTCCAGTCATGCTCCAAATCCAACCAGTACCAGTTAAACAACAATCAGACACAAGTCCTAGTTCACAAGGGCAAGCTCAAGACAACATTAAAATTGCACAGCTCCTGGTCAACATCCAAGGGCAAACATTTGCGCTAGTACCACAGCTTGTCCAGTCGTCTAACTTGAACTCATCTTCTAAATTTGTCCGCATAGCCCCAGTTCCTATAGCAGCAAAACCTCTTGGGCCTGGAGGTACAATCCAGGGTCAAACAGGGGTCATCATGGGTCAAAAATTTCAAAAGAATCCAGCAGCTGAACTTATTAAAATGCACAAATGTACTTTTCCTGGATGTACCAAGATGTATACAAAAAGCAGCCATTTAAAAGCCCATCTGAGAAGGCACACAGGAGAAAAACCTTTTGCATGCACATGGCCTGGTTGTGGATGGAGGTTAGTACTGGGAGGGGTTGACAAATGCTACATTTCACAATACTACTGTATTCTTCCCCTCATTTCACAACCTACAAGTGTAAACAAAATTCATTTATAACAAAGGTGGGCACATTTTGCCCTGCAAGTCTGTTTTTGTGCCCTCTGATATTTCCAATCATTCACTTGTGTGGGAAAAATGAATACTCTTTTCTGGTAAGCCCCAAAACTGGCATCTCTCTCTTTCCCTCTTTACTCTCTCCCTCCATTCTTTAACATTTTACAAAGAAGGATTTTTTTTCAAAATTGGAAGTAGACTTCTGGCCACTTGAGGAACATTCTTGAAAGTCCACATGGGCCCTAAACCCACTGAAGTTGCCTTTCGCTGATTTATAAGCAAACATTTTTCTCCAGTGCTTGACTATTATTAGTAATGAAGCACATTTTCTTCAGATTAGATCATCCCAGTAACATCTGTGGATTACATAAATTTAATGATATAGATATCTTTTTAAAAAAGCAAGTGGGCATTTCCTAAAAGAAGAATTAAGTTTGGAGGAGGCATTGCTATTTGTTCAGTGCTTCTCCAATTGTAACTTTCCTCCTGCAAGCAGCACCGAAATAAAGTATAAGAACTAGTCTAGTGGAGTGGTTTGAGCTAAATTCATAGGGTGACTTAAAGACACACAAATGAGACCTTCATTTCAATGGTCAGAGATCACCTCTGAGAGAACTCTGGCTCGTTGGAGCAGACAGCAGTCGTGGGGATAATGGGGGACAAGCCTCTTTATTACGCTTCTATAAGTAGAGTTAGCAAAATTGCTGTATTATTCATTGTAAAAAATATTTTATGTGAATTCACACATCCAACCTTGTGAAAGTTTGTGTTTCAAGAGTGGAACAGTTTTCATTCACATTGTTAGTCTACACAAAGTTAGTATGCTTTTTCAAATGTGGCTTCATGAATGTCTATTAGCTTACAAATTGCTACATGTGCCAACCATAACTGACACCAACAGTGATTTACTACTGCGGTGGGAATGTAATCTTAACTTGCAGTGGAAAAAATAATAATTGCAGAATTCTTTTTACATTTTGTTATTAGATATGGATAACTGAGTATGAAAACATGTATGTGCTTCTCCTGGCAGGGAGGTGTAATATAAAATTCAAATTGGATTCTTAAATCAGATTCAGAAATACAAGTTTTATTGCTCCTCATATACCATAGTGCAGTGTTTCTGGAATTTCCTAATGCTACCACCCCTTAATACACTTCCTCATGTTGTGGTGACCCTCAACCATAACATTATTTTCATTGCTTCTTCATAACTGTAATTTTGCTACTGTTATGAATCGTAAATATCTGATAAGCAGGATGTAATTTCATTCACTGGACCAAATTTGGCACAAATATCCGATATGTCCAAATGCCCAAATTTGAATACTGGTGGGGGGGGGGGGGTTGGGTGGGGATTGATTTTGTCATTTGGGAGTTGTCGTTGCTGAGATTTACAGTTAACCGACAATCAAAGAGCATTCCTAACTCCACCAACAATGGAATTGAACCAAATTTGGCACACAGAACTCCCATGACCAAGAGAAAATAATGGAAGGGTTTGGTGGACATTGGCCTTGAATTTTGGAGTTGTAGTTCACCTACATCCAGAGAGCACTATGGACTCAAACAATGATGGATCTGGACCAAACTTGGCACAAATACACAATATACCCATATGTGAACACTGGCGGAGTTTGGGGAAAATAGACCTTGGCATTTGGGATTTGTGGTTGCTGGGATTTATAGTTCACCTACAATCAAAGAGCATTCTGAACCCCCCCACAATGATAGAATTGGGCCAAACTTCCCACACAGCACCCCCATGACCAACAGAAAATACTGTGGTCTTTAGTGATCCCACTGACACCCCCTCACGACCCCACCCCCAGGGGTCCCGACTCCCAGTTTGAGAAATGCTGCCATAGTGGAAATCAATGCAGGGGAATAATGTTTCACTTCTCAATCAGAATTAAACAAAAATGGCAGAAGAACACCCCATTAGGACTAAGGGGCAATTTTCACAGAAATAGATGCAAGGCATTTTGTTTTACTACTGTATGTGTTCTTAAATTTAAATGCTTTTTAAAAGTGGGAATTTCCAATAACTTCAAAAAGTTCTTCTTCTGGCAGGATTAGATGAAATCTTCAGGGAGAGTTGCCCCTTCTGGGGGAATCAAGCCTGCCAAATTTCAGAAAAAGTAAAGAGCATTTTGACCTGGAGCAGTCTTTGTGGGATTTTAGTAAATTAATGTGCTTAACCTCCTAGGTTTTTTCCATTGACAGTTGTTACAAAAATGAGGTGTGTAACAGAAGCGGTAAAGCTACATTTCCAACAAATATCAGTTGCTGTGGGCTATATTTCAAAGGAAAGAACTAGAAAAAACACCTCTGAGTATTCCTAGCCTATGAAATGTATGGGGTTGCCATAAGTTGACAGATGCCTTGAAGGCGCACGCACACACACACATTTCAGAAAATACCTGGCCCAAAGCAACCAGTTCTATTCTGTTCAATGGTTAATACCATTCTCCCTTAATATTCAGGCAGCTCCCATTAACAAAAATCCAATTTAGAAATGACTCATAGTTACAAATGGAGGTGAGACAGCAGGAAGTGAGAGAAACCAACCCCTTCAAAGAGAAATTCACTCCTGAAAGAGATGTCATGGGAAAAGGTGTTTCCACTGAAGCTTTCTCACTAAATCTTGTTTCCACAGCAAGACACATTGTTTAAAATTCAGTTAGCACAGGGACAGAAAGTGAGGTGAGATCTTCTGAACAGGGGCACAGACAGCAAAACAAACAACACGGGTGTTCACCCTTCCCTGTGCATCCAAAACTAAAACAAAATATGTATTTGGCTGGAGTTACATTTAAAAATGTACTCATTCCAACTTGCATACAAATTCAGTTTAAGAACAAACCTACAGAACCTATCTTGTTCGTAACTTGGGGGTTGCCTCTACTCTTCTCTTCTGCTTTGGCAGACCCAGGGAGGTGGTAAAAGTGCAAGGCCCATCCACACTTTGGCATTGGCCTCTGGAAATGGCTGATGGATTGCTTACATTTGTGGTCTTATTGCAAGGAGGTGGTGTCAAATTTTGTGCAGAAGGGGTTTCAATTGGGACGTGGATGTTTTGTTTTTGTTTTGTTTTGTTTTTTTTGGGGGGGGGTTGCTTATTTCAGCTGACCTCTATGTGTTTTACTGCAATTTTGAAAAAGAAAGTGTATGTCATAGACGTGTCCCTAGGCAAGACACTACTGCTAATGAAGCAGGAGGATTGTTCAGATTCAGGTTCTTTCTGCTTCTGAAGAATCCCGTTTTGATCAAGGCAGCCTTTCAATCTGCCCAAATCAACCTTTTTTTCTGAATTTGGGCTTCATCAGAATTCTTTCTAAAAGAGCAAACATAAGTTGATAAATTGTTGCTTATGGAACACTTGATAGAGTGTGAAATAGTTTCTATTTACAGTCTTTCTCCTAATGAAGTTTTTTATTGTTATAACAGCCATTTGTGATGTCTCTAATTTTCAGGTAGTTTAAAGCTAAACAGGGAAGGTGTGTGTGGAAGTATCATATGATGATAATGGCAGGAGTCATTTAGACAGAGATGGATGAATCATTCTGTGAAATATAGTTTCTAAGCCAAATGAACACAGGGGCTTCCTGGTCCAAGTAATGTGTTGATGTTATCATTCAGTGAATTCACATGCAGATGATTCCAGTTTAAACAATTAAAAAAATATTTCTAAGATTGAATTTTACAAATTTGCCGTTGGTACAGAAGCGTCTGCAATCCCCCTCTCTTTGCATCTTCTTATCATAAGGTCATGAGGCACAATGTCCAAGTGGCATTCTGTATGAAAAACTGAGGGTAGGCAACTGAAATTGATAGCTAGCTACACAGCTCTATTTAGAGGGGAAACAATGGCTATTTTCCTGGTTATATGAAAGTAAGTGTGGTTACTATGGTGTTGTAATTTCCTCTTCTGACTGAGTCTATGATTTTCTGAGTACAGGCTGACTGGTCTGAGGTTTTTATTGCATGATGCCATTACCCCAGGCCCTTTGCATAATCAGAAATAATGGCAACATACTAACCTTTGGTATCACACTTCTCCAGTCATCATTCAACTGTGATGCTTTGACAATTTGAGGTTTTACAGCCACACATTTGGTTTAGCAACCTCCCCCATTTACACTGCTCCATGAATAAGAGAAGAGGACAATCTCATTCCCTGATGTAACTTCTGTTCTAACATGATGGCACAGAAATGGCTCAGGATCACTGCACAAGCTAAGCTGTGGCCCTATAGTGCGATCAAGGGCAATTGATGGTATTGCCTGTTAATAGCAAAGACAGATGTGTGTGGGAAGGTGGGAGACTGAAAATGGGTTTTGATAGGAACTGTCACCAAAAGGGACAGTCCTGCTTCTATGCCACTTTGCCACATCCTTGCAATAGTGTCCCAAATGTAATCAATCCTTAGCCATTTCCAGAGGCCTAATGCCACAGTGTGGATGGACCTTGCACCTTTACCACCTCCCTGAGTCTGCCAAATTAGCTGAGAAGAGTGTATCATGGGGAATGATATCAACCATCTGGCAGAATAGAACTTTGGTTGCTTTGAGCCACTGGGTCATCTAGTGTAGGCAAAAGAGGAGTTGTAGAATAAATAATCTAAGTGGTCTAAGAACTTAATAATATAATTCACCCAAGGCACTTCACATTCTTTAATCAACAAACAGCATGAACTTGGGGATCAACACCTCTTTTACTCTTTTAAACTTCATCAACTGGTATGGCGCTTGAACTCTTATGTGGTCAGTATGAGGAGAAGGCTTTGTGGGAGATTTGCAGGTCAATTTCTATTGAGCAGTGAATATTCTGAAACCAGAAAACCTTGTTCTTGGAAGGTGATTGACAATTTTCTGTGTCCGCCTTCCTTTTTTTGGGGGGG